ATATCGCAGGTTAATATGATCGACCAATTAGATCACAGGATCTTGTATAACAAAAATGAACGAAAAATTAGAAAAAATTAAGAAAAAAAGTCAAAGTTTTAAATATCTTGAAATTTCATTATATAAACTAGTCTTTGGCTTCTAATTAAAAGTTTTCAACACTTAATTTTTGCATATATTTATGCTTTTTAATACTAGCTCGAACCCTAACCCTAACTAATAATAATTTTAAATTTTTTTTTAAAAAATGTATATTAATCTGCGATATCACAACCTGCTACATTTAACAAATTCCTTTAATTATTATTATAACAAATTAAAAATAACTAAAACTAGAATTTAAATACTTTAATATAAAAACTTTTAAAATATATTTTTTTTTAGTTTTTTTTTTTATAATTAACAAATTTTAAAATTAGTTTTAATATAAACTTTATATTTTAAATTTTTTAATTTTTTAGCTTCAAACATTTTTAACTTTAGCTACAATAATTATTTTAATAAAATTTTAAATAAATAACTTTTAAATATAAATATTCAATAGTAATTTTTTAAATCAAATCAGTTAACCATATTTGAATTTGATTAAATTAAATATAATCAAATTTGAATTTGAATTTGATCAAATATTTGATTCAAATATTTGATTCAAATATTTGAAATCAAATCAAATTAAAAACCCTATTATTTAGATTATTGTTAATTAATACCAGAGGTGTTCAATGCCAGGATACTGTATTTCAAAAACTAGTTAATTAGTCAAGATTAAGTGTACTAAATAAAATGTTTGAACTTCCAAAAACTCATCCATATTTTACTAACAATCACTTCACTAACAACTTAGTTCACCGATAATAATTTCCAGGCAAGTTTATTTTACCAATGATTACAAATTCGTTATGAAGCATATCGTTTGAATATCTTATAATTGGCTTGACTGACTTAGATCTTGCTCGTAAAGATGCCATTCAAAATTTCCTTCAACTTTCCATATTTTAAGAGAATTATCTTCAACAATACCAGTTTCTAATGAATCTAATTTATCATTATTCTCTGGGAAATTGATTTTAGTGTTGCCGTTCATCAAAAAGTCAAACTTTCTCTGGCCCGAACAAGAGGCGATAAGGGGTGAATAAGGATGGAATGTTGCTGCCGAAACGGCATCTACAATCATAAACTATGTAAGTGTTTACCAATAAATAGACGAAAAATATTTCAATAATACGTACCTTTATGACCTATCATTTTCAGTACCTGATGTGGAACACCACCATCATCAAGATCAGCTAAATCGTAAGCTATAATATTTCCTTCCTGTATCATTAAAGTAAAATATCAAGATAAAATTGAGATAACTTGAAATTTATTGTGTTATCGCTTACTTGATCGCCAGTAATCAAGAATCTTCCGGAATAGTCAATATCAAATGATAACTTCTGATTCGTATCACCTCGTCTTTGTAGACGATATAAAATTTCACCAGAATTACGGATATCCCAGCAACAAATGCTATTATTCCTTCGTGATGTCGAAAATAAATAATTACCAGAAGGTGAAAATTGGACCTAAGATCGAACCATTATTCAATTAAATTAAATGTTATAAAATTGGGATAAAACTCACCTTAAATATACATTACCTGGGTAACACCTCCAATTGGTTCATTCTGTGCTCCACATAAAAGGAATAATAACTCGGTATTGGATTCATCATAAAGCCCAATTGATTGTGAATAAGAACCCGCAGCATATAAACCTGAACGATCAGGATTAAAAGCCAGGCAGGATATCACACCTATTATGCATGTTATTGAATGTACCGAGTTCTTAAAAGAAAATAACTTTTTAAGAAAAATAAGGACAATAATAATATTATTAACCTTTTTGTCCCTCTTTACTCTTACGCGTAGGCGTCGTAGGATATTCTTTGTTGTGATTGCTCTTGTTCGCCGCTTTCTCATCTTTCAAATTTCTGTTTAATACTTTGGCATAGGTAGATT